CCCCAAAACCCCAAAACCCCAAAACCCCTGAACATATCTTCAGAGTTGAAATTCAGAGAAACTATCCTCTGGCAAACTATTATTGGAAGGATAGCTTGCTCTGCTTTGAAAAGAGCTCTTCGTGGTTGCTTATGCCTATTTTTTTGTTGAAATTTTGGACATTTATTATAGTTATTGCTCATTAACCCGATTAAAACTTCAGGAGACACTTAGCAATCATCAATAATATGTTAAAATTTTTGTAAATATCAATCGTTGTGAGAGTCGTAGAGATCTAGCAAAATTATTAGTTCAACACTTCAACATTGATTGTTCCAGACATTGCCTCTAGAATAGCATTGACAAATGGAAGAGGAATTTGTCCGATTGCCTGTTAAGTATCTTTCATAATGATAAATGCACTCAAGACAGTTTGTAGTGCAAATTCTTCATAAACTTTGATTTCACTAGAGAGCATTGCATAGAGTTTAAGTGTGACCACCAATTTATACTAGCGACTTCATAGAGTATTGGGTGAAAATATTTTTGAAGTGGGTGGTAAGTTAAATGATTTCTGGCATGAGAGAACTGAATGAGGCTTATCCATTGCATTGTGAATATCATTTCGAAACTATTTGACCATTGTTGCTCAAGTAAAACAATTGCTAGACTTGTCTTTAGAGGTAAATTATCATTTCAAACAAGGAAAGTTTAGTATTTTACAAAGATATTTGAAAATGATATCAATGATATTGAGATTAATGTGAAAAGCATTATCAAAAAGTTTAGAGGGTTAAAATAATGATATGAAGCTCCAAATGCATTGACTTAATGATTTCTTTGACTTTCTCAGTCTGTGTTATTTCTTCGGAGCACTACATCTGATCGAACGTCAAGCAGTATTTCAGAAGAAAATATCCCAAATTATTAACACAAATGATCCAGAAAATTTTACTGCTGTTTGATCCTCAACTTTTTTGCTAGAAGAAAAGATATTAGTATTGGAGAAAGGTTTCGCATCAATGCTAACTTGTTTGATTTGCCTATCTCAATTACGATTATAGAGTTATCTTTGACATTCCCGATGTTATAGTTCTTAAGACACACTTCAAATATTAAGTAGTGTGAGAAGATTAAACAATGATAATTCTTGAGATTACTTGTTTAATGAAAGATAGGAATTGGTTTATTTTGATACTTTACCCTAAGAAAAGCCTATGAGAAGTTCATAGTTTCTTGAAATATTAATCTTTGAAGCATTACCAAATAAGGTAAGTACATTCATCCCATTTTTCAATAAGGGAATTTGACTCCTCTAATCAACCCATGTTTCTAAAGTACCTTTATGGTAGAAATAGCCAAGGTCATAAACAGTAGGAATATTCAGTAATTTCGATACATAATCAGTATCCTTGAAGTTCTGGTTCTAAATGATCTCAGTAATTGAGGGTATCTCTTTTAAGATTCGCTCTTTGAGATTTTTTCAACATATTCCAAAATATAGCTTCTTAGAGTTTGAAGAGGGACTACTTTGATATAGCTTAAAAATTTAGTGAGGAGAAGTCTAGCATAGTGGGATAATCGTTGAGATTACAATTGGAATCACATCATTTACTCTATTGTATTCGAAGTCAATGGTCTTCCCATATGATTGCTTAGTGGGAAGCTAGGATTTAGATAGTTTTGGTGGTTTTATGCTCTGTGAAAGAAGATAGAGATCTTGAAATAATATGAAATGACAAGGCTATTGTATTCTCTAAGGTACTTAACATGCAAATATCCTTCATTTATCTTATAAACACCATCAAATGGCTAAATTTAAGAGTGTATTTCGAAAATATGCAACTACAGACCACCCTCCGCTTTAAATACCAAAATGTCAATTTTTTAGACTTTAAAGAATAATTCGATGTATTTCTTGTTTATTTTATACTACCCTCATATCTTACTCTGCATATAGATAAAGAGGCTTCAAGCAAGTAAGAGCAGGGAAAATTAGTCTTAAATTATTTCCATTGATTGTGTAATTTTTACTTAGTAGCAGAATATTACTTTAAAAAAAGTATGCTTCCCTTGTAAAGAACTACATAATTGGGAACATAGTACGATTAGGGAAGGCGCTACTGATGAATTTGTTGATGCTGATTAATTGAGCAGAGATTTTATGAGATTAGGGACTAGATAAAATAATTTTGAAAATTTACCTTTCGGGTATGCTCCTCATCCTCAGTCTTAAGGTTTAAATAAGAGTACTTTCTTAAACAAGCTACATTTTTGTATTTTTATTTAAACTAAAGAAATGGCAAGAATAATAATTATTATACTTTTTCCCTTTTAATGACTCTCTCGATAAGCCTATCAGACACCTCTCTATACATAATCTGTGCATCATAGGGAAGTTTTGCAGCTAATGAAGTTATAAATTTAAGGTTGTCTCTTCCGACTTTCAAAATAATCGTTTTGAAGACCATACAGGCTAGGGTTGTCTTCATGAGTTATTTTAGATACAGAAATATCTCCTTGTAGCAATGCTTCTCTAAGGAGACACAGCAGTTAAACATCTCTTCCACAACTTAACTTCCCTAAGCATCTGAGCAGTCAGAGTCGAGGTTCTGACAATATTTGCAAAGGTTTTAGGCCAAAGTGTCTCTCTAACTTTAAGATCTGTACTCAGTTGTGTAATATACTTTAAAATTTTCTAGCACCCAGTTAATAAACTGTTTCAGTCTTCATTGATAGCAATGCTTGATGTGAGTATGTTTATTAGAGAAGGAAAAAGGATACCAGAAAGATACCCAATCGCACTAGTGTACTTTAATTATGATCTCAATAAATCTTCATTTGATAAAACTTTGGACAATTTAGCAAGAACAATTCTTGGATGAACCATGCCAGGGCTGACTGTTGGTTTTCCTGAAATTTTTACTAAAAACGAGTATCAGTTTATTCGAATTGATGCTTCTTTAAATATGACTACATATTGTGCTATGAGGCAAAAAAGATATTATTGTTAGTGCACATATTTGGTAGACTTTACTCATAATTTTTAAAGGGACAAATATCCTTGAAATTTGTTCCTTCAGAAATAATATGATTTGGCAAAGAGGAAGAACATTGATAAAACTTTCTAACTAATTTTGAGTCAGATTTCTGAACTTCATTAGCTGCTTCCCTTAAATTACAATTGATTATTTTTAAGTTGAGGGATAAAGGCCTAAATATGTCTTCTTTCTCCATTATCCTTAGGGGATATTGTGAAATAAATTAATGATGAAGATCAGGCTGTCCCATATATTCATTCTTGATCAAAGCGTATAATCTCTTTCAAACGCTTATCCTTTCATTGTTGCATCTTTTATTTAATAATTTGATGATTTATTGTTGGATACTTCAATATCAAACTATTAATTAGGGGTTTTGGGGTTTTGGGGTTTTGGGG